CCGCTATACTGTCGAACAGGTCGCCACCTGCACATGGATAACACATATAGCATTATTCCCAACCGTCCCCCCGCTGTGTCTCCACGTGACGACAGATGAGAATAGTTTCATCCGTCCCACCTTTTAGTCCCACTATCAATAAGATGACAGAACCGTTAAGAAATAAAATAAGTTCCAACCGTCCTCTCGTCGCAAAATAAACGGATGAAACTTTTTATTCTTGTCTGTCGTCACGTGGGGACACAGCGGGGTGACCGTTGGAAATATTCCCACATATAGCGCCAATAGCCTAATGGTTTGGGGTACGGACTATCGATCTTGCAAGTACTTACATTAAAATATTTGACATAAGGTGAATCTTACTAATATTATGAATGCAAAATTTTGTTCGAGAATTTGTAGCCTAAACTGATCAGATCTCGATGAAATTTGGCACAGATATAGAACATAGGCCACTTGCTAAATACTTTATTATTACTCGTGGACGGATTCGCGGGCGAAAGTAAATACATTATAAAATATAAACATACCGCCTACAAGTTCCATAACTAGGAAGAGCCACTCGGGGCAGTCTTGCTCCTCTATAAGGGACACAATGCGCGGATGGCATAGCTTTCTCATTACTCGGACCTGTATCAAATTAAACATCACTAAAGATATATACACCACAAAATATATATAAAACATATATAAAAATAATATATTTTCACTTACAATGTCAGATAAGGCCAAAATAGTTCCATTCACACTGAAAAAGGTCTTTGAAAAGGCCTAGTTGGACGATATTGGATTATGATCTTACTATAGCTTATTTATTACAGAAAATTAATTTAATATAACTGGTGTTTATTCAATTTTTTTATCAAGTGAAGTTTATGTGTTATTTAGGAATTATCTTACCAATCTTACTAATATTCTAATTGCGAATGTTCAGATGGATGTTTGTTAGAGTTTGTAGCCTAAAAGGCTGAACAAATCTTGATGAAATTTGGCATAAATGTAGAGGATAGTCTGGAAGAACACATAGGCTGCTTAATTTTGTTTCTTTATTTAATTCCACTCGGACGGAGTCGCGAGCGTAAGCTAGTAAAATAATAAAAATAATTCACACCTCAGCTTCTACATAATGCTCCTTGCCTTTGCATTTCGCTTTGTCAATTATTTTCAGAGCATACTCCTTGCCGGTATTCTTGTCTCTGCATATCCGTACAACAGCAAAGTTGCCGTCGCCTAAAAATTACCATATTAATTTAGTGATTTAAAATATTAATTTGGTGATTTTGCTAATCCTTATTAAATAATTATTTTTTACAATAAAAACTCCTATGCTTACGACAAGCTACAGGCTACATATTTTCTCAATATTTTAATTATTGGCGAGTAAACTGGAAAATATTGTCATGCGAGAAAGAGACAAAAATAAGCTAATACTAGCAAAATAGCGACATTGTAATGGTAACCAAATATACATACATACATACATAATTTTTTTTTAATTTCGTGGGGATGAAAACACACGGAAACATTATTTAGATACAAATGAAAGCACTTACCAATAATTTTTCCAACGGAGTACTTCAGTCGTAGTGGGTGCGGCAGCAGCTGCGCGGCGGCGGCGTGCTCCGCGTCGCGACTCTCCCCGCCCGCCGCGCCGCCCGCCGCCGCCGCCGCCGCGCCGCTCGCCTTCACCGGCATACGCGGCTTCGGACCACATCTATAGCATCACCAAATATACAGGGTGATTCATCATCACCAGCTCACTATACGTCCCCACTGAGGGACTCGGAGCCTACACTTAGGTTTGTCTAGGTCATAGTCAACCATGCTGGCCCGGTGTTGGTTGACTTCACACATATCTACGAATTTCTTCGCCGATACAAATATTTTATTGGTAAATATTTCACAGGTCATTATGTTGAAAAAAAAAATTACAAATACAAGTTACATTACGATGTTTTCCTTAACTGTAATAACGTTGCGTAAACTATGTATCAAGGTCACCGTGGTTATTTCAATTCTCAGCCAATAGCAAGGGCTTTCATTGTCTATTGAAAATTAGAATTTTATTTGCAATTAAGTTTTACAAAATGTAAACTAAAAATAAGATTTTTATGACATGCGGATAAAACCTTACATGAACACCTAGTCATTTCATATATAGGTAACTGACATTTTATAAAACAAAAACATAGAATAATATTTACCTGGAATTTCTTGAGATTGGGGTTTTTCTGCATTGTAAGACAGCTTTGCTTTCTTCAAATTCTAATTCAAAATCTTCTTGATTAACCCTATATAAGGTTAGATAGAAAAAAAATCAATTAATAAGAATTGTAAATTATAAAAGGGGATAGAACTATAATGTAACAAAAAGGCTTTTTACTAAAATATTATACAGTTAAATTAAAAAAGGTGTGTGTGAACTACAAGAAAAATAAAAAAAATCAAGAACTTTCTTTTAAGAATTCTTTTAGGAAGTCGGTTCAAAATAATTTCCTATAATAACCTTAAAATTCACAGTTGGTTTAAATGTTATTCATGCTGGGTTTCTGAAGTTTCCTATTATTTTGTCATTACCTAGAGATTCATTATTGTTAGGTTGCCCTAAGTTATCAAAAACATTACCAAACGGTTAAAAGTAGCTGGAAAACCGTCCATAAACAATCAAAAGCACAAACTTACCTTTCATTTCCATAAGCAAAGAAGACATCTTCATCCTCAAAGAAGTGGTGCAAAGCGGAGACAGCAGTACCCGATTGTGTAAACACTTTCCTCACACATCCCGTGTCCAGTTTGATGCACTCAGTAATGGCGGCCAGCGCGTGCTCTAGCGTCGGACTGTTCCGCTTGTTTAAAAGTAACCTACATACCTATAGTACAATTTAATGCATATAATAAACATATCTGAAAAACTTTACGTTTAGAGCGGGCGCACACCTGTGACTAAACTATCGCATGACTGTTGTGAGATTACCGATTGTTTCGCAGCCAATTTAACTGTGTAGTAGCACAACTAAAAATGAAGTAGCGAGGGCAACTCCATACAAGGTCATAGAATCAAAGCGAGACAGTTGTGCGATAGTTTAGTCAAAAGTGTGCCCCGCACACTCTTAAAGTTGTAATCATATATTTATTAAAAAAAAAGCCATAGACAATAAATGACATTGTGAGCCAAGTGACCTGTAGAATATAATTGATCATTTCTATTGAATTATATTCAAAGTAAATGAATCGCCTATTGTCAGAAATTGGAACATAATGCATAATCATAGATGTTTTTTTTTAGTAACTTCTGTAAAAAAATTTCACCATTTATCAGTTCACAAAATCTCTACTAATATAATGAAGTATAAACACACAGTTACGTAGAATGTCACCACATACTGCATATTTTTGAATAAACCTTTTTTAAAGGTCCTACTTCTGACATGTTACAGGCTGTACATTTTCACTGTTATAGGCTATGCAGTCAATTGCTAAAAAAAATTATGCGGAAAAGGGACAAAAACTACAAGCCAATACCAGCAAGAATTAAGGGTTGTTATAGAAACATTGTTAGACAATGGCAAAAGCTCTTGTTGTCATTTAAGCATTTGAATGTTGACATTTTCAAGTAAAATTTATGAAATGTAAACAATAAAATAAGATTTAATATTACGATACTCATAGTTTCCTTATAAAGGTGTACAAAATATTTAACATATATTTTTTTACTATTGTTAAAACGAAAAATATTTAAATACCTTCCGTGGTTTAACTCCATTCCTAATAATTGTGACTATACGTGGTCGGACCACATTGTCTCCCGCAGGACTCACTCGCGCCGTCCCATTACCAGTAGTGTTATTGCTACCATTTGTCTGAAATACAACATAGATTTCATTAACAAATAAATAAATAAACTGTACTAATATTATAAAGATGAAATATTTGTATTTTTGTATGTTTTTAAAAATCCTTTCACCATTAGAAAGGTAATTTTTCTGTGAGTAACATAGGCTACGTTTTTTGATTATTTATTTAAATTCACGCGAACGAAGTCACGAACAACAGTTACTAAATAATAATGATTATTTAATTATTTATGTAGATTTACATAATTACAAGGAAAAGTCCAATGATAATGTTTTTGTTTCATGTAAGCAATGTTTATTTACAGGAAATCATCTCAATGAATATTGAATTATGATTACTGGCTTTTCTCGTATTTCATAATAAATAAATCGTGTTTTGGTACATTATGGATTACCCAATATTGATAAGAACAATTTACACTAGCATTAAACAATAAAACCCCATATAACATATTTTGTATGGAGTTATATGTCCATTTCCACTGTGAAAAACTGTTATACATGAAAGTTAACTTTTGTGATAGTTTAGTGGAAATATCAGTAATGTATGATGACTTGGAGGGTAATATTACAGCTAAGAAAACCTGATCTCTATTGACACTGGATAGGTTGCTGCATAAAAATTACAGCTTGATTGGAAATGCTTGTGTGAAAGATATATAAATGTTTACCTCTACTATAATATTACAGAAGAGGAAATATTTGTAATATTGTATGTATTGAAATAACTCAGATACTACTGGACTGATTTTAAAAATTGTTTTTAAAGAGATATGTTATCGTTGAGTAACATAGGCTTTTTGTTATTTTTTAATTTCACATGAACAAAGTCCCGAGCAACAGCTAGTATTATTAAATAATAAACCTAAATACTGACACCGTAGCTCAAGCCATAAAGTGCAACAGACTGAGAACACAGTTATAATTGCAACAATTAAATTCATGCTACAGTGAGTATTGCAAATTATATGTTGGCAACAGTAATATGTATTTAAACTATAAAAAATGGAAAAAATTATTCATCAATATGTAAGATAACATCTCAAACCGTCTTGTAGTTAGGGTTCATTTTAAGTCTAAACTATGATTATTAAGTACTCATATTAGAAATAGTAAATTACATTGTTTCCATATGAAAATCTAATAAGAAAATTGAAAGGTTTAAACAAGACAGAACTATATATTTCATATGCATAGAATTTTAATTTTGTATACTGTATATTCATAGTTAGAAAAGTCTAAGAAATATTAGTATATCAACAAATAATATTCTTATAATTGAATAAAATTAATCAATGATTACATACTAGTGAGTAACGGGACGGTTTATTGTTAGCTCTTGCGGGTGACGGACTGGCACTATCATTTAAAGACTCAGGGCCGCTAAGTCTAAAAGATTGTGGCGTTATAGCACTAGCTTCGTAATCTAACCGTTTAAAAGGTTCGCCGAAACCACTGCACACATAAGATTGTCCATCCTCCAGATCATCTAATTTTCCTATCTGAAAGAATATTAAAACAATTTTTATTACAGTACTGAATTCAAATTAAATATGAAATTAAGTTACACTTACTTTTCTACCTTCAAGTGAATAAATTGTTCTTACACCACTTGGTAAAGTAACATTATCAACTAATGCCCTAGTCAAATCTGCAGTCAAACTATCAAATGATCTGAAACATACAAAATAATAACACATAGTTGCTTCAGTGTTGACATCAAATAATTTCAGACCCTTCAAGGATCATTTTCCTGGGTGACTAATATATTTTTTAACTAAAAATTAACTTTGTGTAATTAATTTACATAAAAACTACATTAAATGGAAAACATAACAACCTAACACTGTTATTCAGTAACATAAACAAGTTTAAACATATGGCTTCATTAACTGCTAAGAATTAAAAAAAAAAGTAGTTACTCAGTAAATGCAATACAAAGCCTTTAACGGGTTCGAGTCAGCATGTCGCAAATTTGTATACAATAGGTAGATATAAAATAACTATCGAAGTGAAAGTAGAATCCATTTTTGGTATCCAGAAATACATTTTAATGAGTAAGTTACCTGTATCGTTCTGGCAAGACTGGAATCGTAACTCCGGAATAAAATTTGTCACCGTTTCGAAAAAATCTAATTCGTTTTGCTTTTCGTGCGGAACCCACAGTATTGCGTGGATTTGTCCTAGATTTAATTATTTTCATATCGCTGAGATCCTTCTCAAGTTCACATACAGAACTCGATCGGCTCCCACTTCGACTGAGGTTATTCTCCATTCTTTAATAGAAAGTTAAAGTTATACTAAGCCAAAAATTTGTTAACGGATAGTCCTTTACTTTGAAAACTAATCCATTAAACCTCACCCGTATTTCCTTGGCACGTTGTAACAGACAGTATAAATATCAAGTTAATAAAAAAACATCACTTAATCGTGTCTCATTCTATAATTTCCCCAGGAAAGCTGATATTACAAAAACTTATTGGAGTAATCGTGATCCTGTATTTCATGAAACACGGAAATCTGCGGAAATCAGCGCAGACACTACCACAGATAATGAAATTCGTTAAGACATCTTTAAAGTTTAATTACAGATTATATTGTAAGTAATTTGCGCAAAATGTTTTAAAATATTTTATACTTACCACTGAAATGTCTGTTAATTAAATCGATATTTTAATTTGATGCAGAGCATTGACCTTTTGAAATACAATTTATAACAAAGATTAATTACATAAAAAACCATTCTGTTATGGCAACTTCAGTAACAGGTGACGCATTTATCAATTTCGTTTTATGTCAAAAGAACAGACAAAGAGTGAGTTAAAATTGTATTTTTACATATTTTGTAATATTTTTGTGCAAAATGGCATCGAGAAAAAAGGTTTTATTGAAAGTCATCATCCTCGGCGACAGTGGCGTTGGTAAAACTTCGCTCATGAATCAGTTTGTCAACAAGAAATTTTCCAATCAGTACAAGGCAACAATAGGCGCAGATTTTCTCACAAAAGAGGTAATCGTCGATGATAGGATTGTAACAATGCAAATTTGGGATACTGCTGGACAGGAGCGTTTCCAGTCGTTGGGGATGGCCTTCTTTCGGGGAGCGGATTGTTGCGTTTTAGTGTTTGACGTAACGGCCCCCAATACCTTCAAGTCCTTGGAAAGTTGGCGTGATGAATTCTTGATACAAGCCTCACCTCGTGATCCGGATAACTTCCCGTTCGTCATTTTAGGCAATAAGGTTGATTTAGAAAATCGCGGAGTTTCAGCTAAACGTGCGCAGCAGTGGTGTCAGAGCAAAAATGATCTACCTTACTTCGAAACCAGTGCCAAAGAAGCTGTGAATGTGGAACTAGCCTTCCAGACTATTGCTCGTAATGCCTTGGCTCAAGAAACAGAAGCTGAACTGTATAATGAGTTCCCCGATCAGATTAAGCTCAACGCTAATGACAATGCTCGCAACCGAGATGGAGACAACTGTGCCTGCTAGACTTCCAACTGAATAACTCATTTATCGGCAATATACTAGTGTCACATTTTTTTTTTTAAATTACTTTCATAGATTGTAATATTATTGTATAAGTAATGTTTTCTTTGATGACATAACTATCAATATATGAAATTGTCAAAGTGTATTTAAGTCACATGATTTTTTTGCGGTTTCTTTGTTATGCACATATCAATTGTGTAATGCACATAGCTAAATTACTTGAGCTTTTTCCTAGTGTAGAGGCACTATCTCAAAGTACAAGTCTACTTTATGTTTCATAATTAATTAGGCCAAATCTCGTAATATTATCATCATGTTTTAATTATGTTTTGTAATTCATTTGTAAGCTAAATGCATGAAGATATCAATGGCTCCTGTGTGTAAACAACAATTTACAAATTTGCATCTTGTAATATATTTTGAACAGGAAAATGTATATGAAATTACTTTTTTAATCATCAATGTTGCCGTTAGATTTCTATTGTCTATTAATGCATCATAATGAAGTTTTAAGTTCAATCTTGTAAAATTTGTCTTTTAAAATGATAATTTACATTTTTATAATTTACATAATTTACATAGGAGCCATCCAAATATTGGTTTTGTTGCCCAGTTGTATGAACAGTAGATTGTAATCATATTAACATTCAGTCTGTTCTATAAAACATGACATTAAACAATGATAAAAGTTGTAGAGCTAGATGAGTCATAACATTTATTTCATGTTAGAAATGACTAAGCAACTCAGTCTACCTAGTGCAGGGGTAGTGAACCAATGGAACATATATTTTAGGAATTCTGGTTATAAAATGAAAAAAATATATGTCATATAAATGAACATGTAGTACTGCTTACTAGTACTACTATGCCTTATGCAGAGTAACTTCAATATATAACAACATTAAAAGTTTTATTATAAAAATAACTTGATAAAAAGGTTCATTACCCCTGCCCTGGTGCATTATTTACTTTTATCTACATTAAACAACCTATAAATGTTAAATTATGTAAAAAACATTAATCTATCAGCTGTATAATTCTATGTTCACTGGTGGTTTTGCATTGTTGAAAACCAATGTATAAAAACATGTTATTTATTTCTCTGACTACTCAATAAAAATAAGAGAAAAACCATGTTTTAAATCAACTTCCAAAAGTGGGAAGTTTCATTTTTATGTTTTTAGTACATGTTTTTCAACAATGGAAACTTTTGTTTAAAATGAACAATGAATAGGTAATTTTATTTGTATGTGCTTATATCAAAATTTATTATAAATGTCATAGGTTTGTTGTCTAAGGATGCAATAATTGTTAGAGAAGGTATTTGATCTGTTTTGTTATACTAATAATTTGTATAAGAAATAAAATTGTAATGGTATATATCTATGTGGCAACAAACTTTGATATGCTTATAAAATATTTCTGTATATATTTGGAATTTGTTAGATGTAAGTAGTTAAACAGTACCATGGTTATAGTAGTTACACAACATTTTACATACATTTTGTCAAATATTTTTACATGTCTGGCTAATCGAAAATGAATATGTGTAAGCCATATTAATTACACTTAAATTTGGTACACAATTTTTTTTTTAAATTCGGGAATTGGGAAATTATTCGTAAATATTTAAGTTGAATTATGATAATGATCACAATAATTCTCACTTGCCATTTAAAATGTTACTTTGGTCAATCCTTTTATTGAATTTAAAAGGCATTTATATAAAACCCCAATATAGTGAGCTAGAAAGAGATAAAAAATGAAAGTGTATGATATAATAATGGTTGCTTTTTATTTTATATTAATAAATATTAATAAAAACACATTAATGTTGTTTTAAAATACCATAATAATCGTAAACACTCCTGAAGTTATTATTTAACACTAGGTTTCGCTCGCAACTCCGTCTGCGTGATTAAAAAAACTCAAAAGTAGTAACCTTTGTTCTTCAAGACCATTTACATCTATACCTAATTTCATCGAGATAAATTGAGCCGTTTTACAAAAAACATCTATGCATCTAAACTTTCGCATTTATAATAAGATTAGATTGTTTCTTTCAATTAAATGAACTTGTACAACAATTGTTTTGTCAATTTCATGTAATCATAATGTCTTTTGCATTTGTAAGAGTTCGAGTCGCGACAACGTACGTTACGTGAATCTAAGCACTTCAACTTAACAAGATTAATCACGTGACGTCATATCTTCTTAATTATTTTGAATACTGGCTGTTGCAGCTTCGTCAATATGATAAAAATATAGCCGATGTTACTCTCTTATATCCGCTACGTTTCAATAAAAGTCCCGTCTATCGGTGCAGCGGTTTCGGGAATACCCGGAATAAACGCTGACTTTCGAACAGACAAACAGACAAAAAATGGCGACTGCGAACTGGGCTCTGTAGATGGTTCATTTGTTAATCGCTCAACTTTTTTAAAGCTGACAGTACCGACCCTTTGAAGTTATCCGTAGGTAGGATTGAGAGAGGAATCTTTAAATTTGTAATCTTGGAAATTGTTTGAGACTATTTTAAAAAAGATGACTGTGATAAGAGAGCCGGCCAATAATTCGTTTGACGATACTGTACTGCATGGGCGGACCTGAAGGAAAGTCAAGATTACGTAAATCTGTTTAGAACAGTTGAAAGTTGAGTTTCCATTGCTGAACAACCTGCACATAAACATGTTTTAGTTTTTAAAAGTTGTGTATTTACTCCCATCAGCGCCATCAAGCGCTAAGTAGATAAATAACAGGAATAAAATTAAACATTTTTTCTGTTCTAGTACAATATGACTCTAAATTGTTTTATCTAAATTTTAATTTAATATTTTCTGGAGTGTTTAAAATCGAAAAACTATGTAAAATAAAACATGTTTTAATTTTTCAATGTTGGATATTTACTCCCGTCAGCGCCATCTAACGCTAACTAGATAAATATCAGGAATAAAATTAAATATATTTTCTGTTTTAGTAGAATGTTACTTAAAAATCTTTTGGCAAAATTTTAATTTACGATTTCTGGAGTGTCTCAGCTCAAAAAATAACCACATTAAAAAGAAAAGATGTTTTAATTTTTAAATGTTGGATTGGTTGATTTCTGTCAGCGCCATCTACCGCTAAGTAGATAGATTACAGGAATAAAGTTAATTAAATTTTCTGTTCTATTATAACGTTACTCGAAATTATTTTATCTAAACTTTAATTTAAGGTTTTCTTAAGTGTTTTAAAAGTCGATAAATTAATTACAACATAGAAAACATGTTTCAATGTTGGATATTTACTCCTGGTAGCGCCATCTAGCGGTAAGCAGATAAACTACAAGACAAAAGTTAATTATATTTTTTGTTTTATTACAATGTGATCAATTTCCTAGAGTGTTTTAACTCTAAAAATTTGATTATATTATAAAAAGAAGATGGGAAGTATTCATTGAAAGTAACCCATTTTATTTACACCTAGCGCTCTCAAGTGGCAAGTAACATACAGTATTTTTTTTCTAATTATTTCGCTGTTAGCTTACAATTTTACATGAATGTATCTAACGAGTATTTACAGGCACATAGTTCCTTGAAATGAGTTTGTTTCTAAGTTAAAATCTGAAAAGTTTTCTCGTAAATTAAACATTTTAGTATGTGCTTTTGACCAATAGATGTCACTAGGTAGTGCTAGACTTCATAGAATAATACGTCTTCAATGGTGGATATTATATTTTTTCATTTTCTATTTTAATGAATTTTAAACTATTTTCTCTGTGTATGTGTTTGTATAACCGTGTTGGTCCGCATATTTCTTAGGTCATTAATGTACATTTGGGAAACTAGTATTTGATCTATGAGTGATGATCGATTCCACATTTAAATTACGTATTAAGGCTTGAGAAATCATGGAAAACAGTATTGACAGAAAAATAATAAGAGAATTCCTTATTCTTTCCTGTTTCCTGTTCTTCTCCCCATATTAAAAATACCTTTCTTTATTAAAATGAATATTTTTTTTTGGACTCTATCACCAATTAAGGTGATAGAGTCCTCTATGATAGATTAAAAATTTGGAAAATTTCTTGTCACGTGTTGTGACTCTTGCAACTTTTTTTTACCTCTAATTAGCAAATAATTTGTTACGTATGTACATATATGTTATTTTGTTAACTACGTCGTTGGCGCGTAGCATTTGATGGATTAAATTATGCAATCAAAAGATTTTAACTGATAACTTTAGTAAAGATATTTCATTTGTCACTGTATTTGCTGACTGTTTCAAGTTATCTAAAAAAATTTGACAAGTTAATATTAACTTTATCGTTCTCAGATCAGACGGATTTCAAAGAAATGCTCTGAGTTAAGATATCTATGCTACTGGTGTTTGTACCGTTGTTTTTGATGAATTAATTTTATACGCAACTATATAATATATACTACATAATTGGGTTAAAAACTCTAATACTTCGGTTCCTCTTGCCGATATTGATGCTAAAGCAAAAGTATTTATTGACTGCCGTAGCGTTGTTGAAAAAGCATTCAAGTAAATGTCGCTTGTAGTTCAAAATTAGATCTTAATTCATGAACTAATATATTTTTTATATTAATAACTTTATTTGTACTTCTTCACTACATTAACAGCATCATAAAGGTTCATTCGTTTCCGCAATTTAGATTCAAATCAAAGATATCTAAATTATTAGTTTTACTTATTGTTATATAGATTTGTGTTCTCAGAAATTTTGCATATCAGATAAGAATATGACAAAAAGCCTCGTGTAGATTTTTTACGAACAAAACATTTTCAGAATCAAAGCAAATCATATTTGCGTTTCAAACAAAGAGATTTAAATATAATACTAGTTATATTTGTTTATGTTAAATATCTTTGGTTTCAAATTTCACCTCGAGCGATAGTCACGTGCGAATTTCGCATTATCATTGATCATGAATTTATTTTGTACTTTTAAATATAGGCTAAATAGAAATATGAAAAACCTAACCATATTGCGGAAAAGTGATGCAATAAAGACGCCGATTGAAGCGCCTCCAGACCAAAACAGTACTGGTCAGGTTATAAGATGGTTTTTGATAACTTTTGATGCATGATGATGATAACTTTACATATTATAAAAAAAAATTAGCAATTCACTCGAGATACGTTCAGATTGTAACAGTATGAAACAAATAAACTAGGAAATGGTTACTTCTTACTAATAACTACTATAAATGAGAAAGTTTAGATGGATGGATATTTGTTAGAGTTTGTATTTTAAACGGCTGAACGGATATCAATGAAATTTTGTATAGGTTTAGAGGATAGTCTGAAAGAACACATAGGCTACTCACTTTTGTTTTTTTAAATTCCGCGCGGACGGAGTCGCGGGCGATAGCTAGTTAAAGCTATAAATAAGTCGGATAGATATGTCTGAATTTACCTATAAATGAGCTTTTTTATGTTTTAAAGTTTTTCTTAATTCTTCTTCTTTTGTAATCGCCATTCTTCTGAAATCTTTTTGGAATCAACAAGCAATATTTTAGTAGCGTTATAACATGGTTGTCTATGGGTTAAGTTTGGATAATTTGATAAAGTTAAATTATAGTGTTCGTCGTAACATTATAGTATATTTCATCAGAGTCATTCATCGGCAGGGTTCGTGTATGGGATTTTCAGTCGGCGCATGCGGGTTGGTGCGGGGCGGCCGCGGGTGGACGTTAGCGGGGCACGAGCGGAGCGGAAGGGGCGAAGCTCGAATATTTCAGGCGTTTAGTCGCTCTGGCAATTTAGTCTCGCTTGTGACATGAAAGGGCGCTATCCTTTACACGCATCGCGGTGCTTTGAGAAATGCATCACCATGAACAGCCGCAAGGGAACGCGTGCAACGGTATGTATTACTTATTAATCCTCTTTCCGTTATACATTACGTTGATTATCTTATTTCAGACATTTAATTTTACCATTGCGCAAAAAAATCAATGTGCAAATTGTGTAACTCATGTTCTCGTAGGAAAAACTGAATTTATACGAAGAATAATATTATATTAGAGTAACTTAGTTGCATTTAAATTAAGATAAATCATGTCTCTACATGTTTTTATTAAAACTACAAAACTAATTTATGCGTATAAAAAAGTAAAAATAGACATAAATCTTAAAATTTTATAATAAAATGTTTATACGTACGGTTTGAAATGAATCGCTAAAACTGAAGACAGTATAAAGGTAACCACTTCCTATATTTTAATGTAAGACTTCTTCATAAGCTAATTTACTATTAAATTGTCACACATTAGGTGCTATACGTCTTAAAAAACATATCTAACTAAAATTTGAAACACTAAGATTTGTGTCGAAAATATTGTATTTCCTAGGGTAACTTTGATTTGTAAATTAGTCAGACTGGAGTAAACATTCTTCTTTTAAAATAAACCAACCGTTAAATACAATTCGATTGAAAAATTGTCACCGTAGCCTTGACTTTCGTGTGGAGTTTCCACTACTATAACTGTATTTCCACTATCCTACCAATATTTTTTTCAAACAGAATATATGAATGTATCTGCAGTTTGAACTTGTTGATACATTTAACAAATTAACCTTGACTTTTTTGTTACTACTATGTATATACTCCATTTGCATTATAATAAATAACTTCATTTGGAAAAAAAATCTCATCATCCAGTATGTGTACTGTTATTTAACGAACCTCATATCTAATAATCCTTAATTAATTGGACTACAATTACAATACTTATATGGATGCAATACTAGCTTTTGCTCATGACTTCGTACTCGTTAAAAAAAACTTAGCAAGCCTATGCTCTATTCTAAACAATAGTTTTCTCTGTGCCAAAGGAGATTGACGTTTAAGTGTGGAATTTAGTTTCATATTGTACCTTGATGAAATTTGACTCGATTTCTACGGTTTTAAGTTTTCATCTACAAAAATACATTTAAACAATAAATAAGTAGTTAAAGAAGTTTAAAAATTAGGTTTATTTTTATAGACCGTAACATGGTACATAACGTTTATTGAGGATTTGATCGTTACACATAGATACCTATTTTTGTGTTTGTACTTAGATATTTAAAATAAAAGAAAATCAATAAATATACAGTTGTTAGTTTGTTACAAAAGAAACCACAAATAGTTTCATATTTATGATATTAAAGTATATGTAGTTAAGAGATTACTTGACAGAAACTCAGTCTGCTTAAATAGTAATAACATTTAAATTCCTTTTTTTCTTCAATTATCCAATTGAAAAAGTAGATGGTACTTGTAAGACAAGATTTAATTTGTAATTGCATAATAAATGTATACAGATAATATAACCTGTTATCTATAGCTCAATAATGATATCGTAGGTCGGTGTTCACAAAACGAATTTAATGTATCTGCCGTACAGATAATGTAATCTTTATTGAAGCTTAGCAATTAATCAGGACATTGGTCAATAAGTATTTACCAAGATAAATATCTAAAGGCGAACAATTCGTAAACCTTTTAAAGGAAATTGCGCTAACGGAGGAACTTGAAAAGTGTTTCCCATTGGACCGATCAAAACATACCAATAGGTTACTACTAGTATACATATAATCTGCTGCAGTTAATTAAACATGTATCGCTTTTTGTCTAGGTTTTACAGACGATTTCATTTTTACTTAAGTAATTACAATTCTTTCAGTTGATTTTTCAAACCTATGATGATTCACGTTTTGAAACAATCTTTTTAAGGTCTTTTACGATTGCAAATGGGAGCCGGAGTCTATGCGATTAGTTTTTATAACATGGCATTTGTTACAGTCAACATTCAGGAGTATAATAGGAAACGAAATCAAAATTTGAATAAAATATTTGTGTTCCTTCGTTTTCGTTTGTTTTGCATTCCTGTTAACTTCCGGCTCGCTTTCGAGGCTGTGTGCTACATAACGACTACCAAAAAATCTATTAAACAAGTCGGTCATAAATAAGACAGTTTTCAAGAAAATCCTTTTGTGTCGTATCAATTGGTATCAAGGTAAAGTTCGATATTTTTATACTTTTACCAACTTTTACTAACGTATTGATAAGATAGTGTTATCGACAAAACGCTTCCATGGCACTTCCAGTTGCCAATATATATCTATTTATACTAAATTAATAAAGAGGAAAGATTTGCAGTTTTGTATGCATTGAAATAACCCAAAAACTACTAATACTATGGGGCCGGTTTTAAAAATTCTTTCACCGTTAGAGAGGTAATTTATCTATGAGTAACATATGCTATGTTTTATTATTCTTTAGTTTCACGCGGACGAAGTCACGAGTAACAGCTAGTTATTTTCTGTTATTTTTATCTTTGTATCTCATAGTAGTTTCTTTACCGCAGCCTATTTCGATAAAGTCAACTACACACCTTTAGTTTTAATTGCACAGTTCTACCTGAACAATCGGTATTGTGTGTAGTTAACTTAACTTTGTGGAATTTGCTTGCACACTTGTATAGAAAGCTCATAGAAAACTGAATTATATAATTCATGTTTCATCTGTTAATATATTATAAATCCAAAACCCTTTCAACTTTAAAAGCATTCGGCTTATTAAGGTTGAATAAATAAGGGTTGAATTTTACTTTATTAAAATAGTATTACATGGTACTAATTAACTGTACATTTATTTCAACAGAATTTGTTATTATTAGAGAATTCTATTGTAGACTAATTTTTTATATTACCTTAAACGAAGGTTTATTGTTGATGATATTTCGATATTAAAAATGTTAAAACTATTTCAGAGCTGACAATCGAGTATTTAAAAGACGTCAATTACACTTTAAATACTCCGCGTAAGTACTTTAAATAAAGTGGTTAATAAGTAGCATCGTCCCAGTGATAGACATTAATTGTCATAGTTTGAGAGAATGACTTCGTATACAACTTCATCTCAATTTAAATGTTCCATATAATCTCTGATGTCTTAAATTTAAGTCTAATATTTGTACATCCTTCGTATAAATTCAGCAAAAGTCTTTTAAAAGAAACATACTAAACTATTTGGATGGTTCCAGTTAGACCGTCTGTCAATCAGTTGGCCTACCGGGAAACACTCCAATTTTTAATATTTTCGTAATAACTAAATATCGTATTTGTGAGAAAATTAAGATAAAATCAAGTAAATTTGTAAGATATCTATAACAAATAGGAGTAAAGTGAATATTGTCTTTACAGAATTTGTAATTATTTTGTAGTTAATTTGTGCTGATTGGAACAAAGTCCTAGCATTGTGCAAATCTGTGCAAAATAGTAGTGTGCAAATCACTGAGCAATAACTTTATTAGTATATAGAGATGTTTAAACTGATTTATCTCTAAAGCATAAAAACTGATATAGCATAGGTTCAAGGGAAATGACAGCATTAAGATGTGCTTGAATTGAGAGCTCTGTTCTACAGTCTCTGACTGCCGATGTCATTGAACCAATCAGTGACGAATGCCTTCATTTTTATGTTTATGTCTACGGTTGGTTATATCGATACGAGATTTTTTTAACCGAATTCAAAAAGGAGAAGATTCCCAATTCATCTGAATGTTTTTTAAATGCTGTGATTAATGAAATAATACGAGGAATTAGTTGAACGAAACTCCTACTAAAAATCTCTATCATTGAATTGAATAGTTGTTTTTAAAGGTTAGGTTCGTAATGTCCCGTATATTGGTCATGTAGGTATGTTATGTCTTTGGATTGAAGTAGTTTAAACATTTGAATATTGGGACACGATCGTTTGTCACGTCTCGTTTGAATGCCCCATATTCTCTTTGAATGTCCCGTATTCTGCAAATCGGTTGTATATTTATATCGGTTATTGACGATATTTTGAATACACTCCGAAACAATAATAAGCTATAAAATAATTTCTACCAAATAAGTTATTTTTATTTTCGAAAAGAAAGGTATTTTACGTGCGAAGCATTATTGCAAGTCGTTTTTGCACGATTTAAAACATGTTGTTTATTCACTTTACGTTTGTAATGATGATAGTCATTTAAAATGTAACTCTATAACACGTCGAATACAAAATGGCGGTGGCATTACCGACGACGCTTCGTTGCAGACTAAGCCAAAACAATACCTTGTTTAGAGTTTCCTGAGATAAGAACCACAAATCGATTGAGACATTCCATACGTCTGAACTTCAACTTATGGAGTGCAATTCAATTTACATTTTAAAGATGATTTATATTATCTATCAGTGGTAGAGCCCGCTTTAACATCGTCGCACGAACGGGCCGGCTCGCCTGGTGTAATACCACGACCACACAGAAAACAGGCGTGAAGTGGAAGTTAATTCCGCGTTTCGTCTGATGAGTGTGGTGCCGGAAGCCTCATTTTAGTCCCTTTTCCTTTCCACTCTTTTCTTAAGGAACGTATGGAAAGGAAAAGTGGATTTCACGGTAGTGGAGATGCATATGAAGGGGAAATGTTCTCTTATGTGCGTCTCCTCCTCCGTCAATGAAGGGTAGGCAACGTATCTGCAATTGCGGATGTTTATGGGCAGCGGTTGCTTTCCACTTCGGTGGATACAGGTGGCCGCTTGCTCGTTTGCCACCTTATATTATAAAAAAAAAATTGAAGTATTTGCTATATTACACTAATACATATATCGAAACTGAAGCAGTAAAAGTGGTTTACAAATTAAACGAGTACTAAATAATTTCACTTGTGTATCTATTTATTAAAATGGTATTGGTTACTATTTGATGACAAATTTATTTATAATTCTCGCTTATGCAATTTTTTTCACCTTTCGTCGTATTATCAACGTATTACATGTATGAAAGCGAAATTGCGATAACACTCAAAATTCAATACTAAGTGCTAAACTAATAAACGTAATCTATAAAC